TGCTGATCTCACCGCTCCTCTGGTACCTCGGCTTTTGCAATGCACAGAGCAGAGCTGAGCCATTCCTCACCTGGCAGTAGAATGCATTTTGCTTTGTATCAGAGCCACCTCCGCACTGCTGTGACAGTCTGGTGAGCTCCAGCAGGCAGCCTGGGCACAGAGCATTGCTGGGGGCCTGCTTGCACACTGGTGGAGCTTTCTTCCATCTTCTTCAGGATGAGAGACTGCAGCTGAGAAACACGGAGGATTTGGAGAATTTTTAGTTAATTGAAGTAAACCAAACATATCAAGCTGCTTTTATGACTATTTCATAACAGAATCTTTTTAAACTAATACTCCACTGGGGAACACAACTTGCAGACAGAAAACCCTCTGAAGTGCCTTGAAGAGATCTGAGCTTTGGACTCTGAACTTTGCTGCTTATAAACAATCACTTCAATCTGCTAGGCCGCAGTGGGAGTATGAGGCTTCATAAAAGGGCTTAGGTGTTGTAATACTAAGTGCAGCAGTGTTTAACTCCATGTCTCGCTATCCAGCCTCCCCATGCAATCCAGAAGATTTAGACACAAAGAACCAGATCTGTGCAGGCCAGTGGGGAACCGCTTTAGGAACGGCTGAGGAGAGCACGGCCCAGCTGTGCTGAGGTACCTCTTTCTGATCGGGTTTCAAAGTCCAGATCCTTTCCCAGCACAGGAACCAAAGCAGCACACTCTCATAAAAAAAGCAACAGCAATTCCAGCACTTGTTTAGGGTTTGGAAGAGGAAGATCCAGAGCTCCTTTTTTGCTGCAGAGTTGCAAGCATCCAAAACTCAGACCTACCCTATAGCTGTTGGGGCATCTTCTTGAAGCTGTTCTAGTTTTCACAAAAGGAAACAGATGAGGTTGGGCCACAGGAGATGGGCATGCAGGCCATGTCCAGACATCATGGAGGCAGGACAAGGACAGCTTGCATTCCACTCATGTTAAGGTTCAGTGGATGATCCTTAAGTATTTTTTAAGGAAAACTTAAGCCTCAATGAGTGCCATGAACTTGGCATTCCCAAAGTTAGGACACATAGGCATCTCCCTCTGCAGTGGCCTGCAAAGCATCCTGGCCTTTGCCAAACCGCCACATACCTCATTCCTCAGTATCAGTGACTCCATTTCCCAAAATGCATTCAACTGTGTTTGTGCATAAATGCATCAACTTCCCCTCATCCTCACCATGCACCCCCAAAGCAGGCAAAGGTGATTGAGGTCAACCTATTTTCCTTATACTTCTTTCAGATCCCTGCACATGGTTTCCTAATCCTGGGTCTGTCTCAACTCCTCACCCACTCTGCATTCCTCGCTCGAGCCCTTGGCGTATCTCCTTGATCCAGGGGCCAGGACTCAGGTACTACAGGAGAGAGCAGGGCAGGAGCTCGTGGGCAGTAACTGCCCAAGCAGGCACCCTCTAGGCAGGTGGAGTCAGGCATTGCCCTTATTTTGAAGCAGCTGGTAAAACAGCCTAGAAAGCAGCTCTAGCCAACCCACCAATCTGAGTCATAGTCTTTCCTGATATAGTTCATTAGACCTTTCATGCAGAACAGTTGGCCAAAGGGACTAATAGCCCCGCCTGCACTCCACAAAATAAATCAGAGAACTAAAGCATTTGCAGAGAAGGGGACTGTGTATCCACACCTTCTGTGAAGAAAAAGGAACTGAGCCCACAGGCTGCCAGCACAAGATAGCTTTAAATCATCAGTAAGCAGAAGGCATTGAGGGCTCCTTCTCCAGATGCACCGTGAGAATACCCACCTTGCCAGGAAAGCAGAGGTGCACATGCTTTCTGGCACTCTGGGGCATCAGACCAGCGTGTCACCTAGTCCCAGCACCACCTGCACTGAGGTTCTGAGTGAGCCAGGAACTACTTGACACTGAAGGAAACTTACAGCTCTGCATGGTCAGCAGGGGAGGAAACAGAGTTTTAGGATCAGGCCCAGTTCAAGGGCACTTATTGTTTACAATGGAGTTGGTTGCCTACAGATTTTTCACGACGTTAGCCCTTTGGGCCCTAGACCAGCTAGCCGAGGCTTTGAGAAGCGAAGAAGTCACCCTGGTACCATGCTGGAGCAACAGTGGCTCCAGCTGCCTCTGCCTGTTCTGCTCTGCAGGGTGAGCCCTTACCCCGGCCACAGTTTCAGTCCACAGAAACTGATGGCAAAGGCACAGCAGCACCGTGGGGAAACCCAGAAGATCATCTTGACCTTTACTATCTAGAGAGAAAACGCTTCAAGTCGGAATGTGTTTACCATATTAATGCTAAAACAGTTCCATTATAATGACAAGCATGATGTTTCATCAAAATTCTTATGAGATTTATATGTGCTGTAGCTCTCCTTCAGATGGAAGTTGGATGTAAAACAAGCATATGTTTCTTGTTACAGTGCTGAAAAAAATCCATTGTTTCTGGGTTGACTGATTCAAAATTTAAAGAAATCAGTCTGACATAACAAACATGATCTTCAGCAATCAAAATGTATTTTTATATTTCACTATGTATTTAATAAAAAAAACTTTCAAGTGAAGCACAGGTTTGCTTAAAAGTGATGAAAAATAATTCAAGCTAAAACTGTCATCAAACTGCAGGATTAGCAATATTAGCTCACTCTTAATTTTACACACATGATTTCGATGCAGTGAACTCAAACTACAAAAAGACCTCAGTAACTTATGGAATCTCTATAAAATTCATAAAAAACCCCCTACAATTAACCAAGAGGAAGGTTTCAAAATCAGGAATCAGGAAATGCAAGATTCACCATTGCCTTGTGCATTATGATATGACCTTAGATTGCAGGTTCACATTTTTCCCAGTAGGCACTCCTCTCATTCAGGAATTCTTTTCAATCCTTTTCAGTGCACAGCTTAGCCTTGCTTCCTGAAAGCACTTGGTACAGAGGTCACAAATGTATCAGCTTCTTTATAAGTATTTCTGCATTACCATCAGAGGAATAAGGATTGTGAGAATCCCTGTGAAATTTGCTCCTTGTACCACCACCTGTAGTAACCATTGAGTGTATGGCCGAACATCAACACTTTCACCTAATATTTTCAGAAGAGATCTACTGAACCTAGATATAGATGTGATTACTCTGCAGTTCTGCAGATGTAGCCCCAAGCACCCATATATTAAGCATTTAGCAAAATTCTTAGTGGGCTTCTGTAAGCCAAGTGTCTTTCTCAAGTGTTACAGAAGAACCTTGTGACAGCAGCAGAAAGAAGACCCAGTTCTCCAAACCAAAGAATGGTCTTTCTTTCCGCATCAGACTTTTCTTCTCTTTTCACCTCTGGCAATTCGACCCCCTTTACTGTTATCAAGCTTTTCCTTAAAATGAGGCAGCTCTGCAGACAGTGAGCTAATGGCTGCACAGTCCACAGTCACTGATGGAGGAGCACACAGCCTGCACAAGGAATATGGCAGCGTCCCACAGAGAGCTGCACAGGTGGGAAGGAATCATTACAATTAATGGCAGACCTGAAAACTCATTTTTACAAGTCCATTCCTTCCTATCCCAGATATTTTTAACAATAAATACAAGTGTTCAAAAATGGGAATCATGCTGACCCTCCAACCTGTCACCACCAGGATTCAGATCTTACAAACAAAACTCCAATTTCTTCTAGCTACAGTTTAATGCTTGTTACCTCAGTGTACGCCGAGGGGAACACCAGAGGGTGAAATATGAAATGTCTTCCAACTTACTCACGCATTAGCCAGTAGTACAAGCATACAAATCTCACATCATGTATTTTAGAAAAGAATTTACAGTCTCTAACACAAAACTGCTACAGCTCCTGGTTCCCAGGCAACAAATATCACTCTTGCACCCACCTCCTTCCTCACCATTTTTAGATACTCCTAAATGTTTCAAAGAATACACCTCCATCTCTGCTAAAAAAAAATACAACAGTATTGAGTGACATTTTTCAAAATACTTCAACAGGAGTTGTGGAATTTTAAAGTTAAAAATTATCACTCCAAGTCAGAAGCATCTGGAAACATGTCTAAATGAAAGCTGTTAAACAGCCTCAGTGAACAGGCAAGCTCTTAAACTAGCTTCCTTTTCCCTCTTCCCCTTGTGCTGCCATAAAAACGTGGAAAGACTCTTTTATTAACTTCTACTACTCACCTCTGACTCTTAAGATGTTACATTTGAGTGTAAGGGCATCAGTGATTTCAGATGCTTTAGGCCAACTGCAGCATGGCTGCTTTGCACTTCACTCAAAGCCTTTTTTTAAGTGCCAGATGCCAACAAAGCCCTTTTCTCTAAACCAAGTAATTTTTGAGATTTTTTTTTCTCAATCCAAACTTACAGTCAAATAAGCAGTGACTGTCTTCCTACAAAATTCTAGCTTTTGTAGAAATCTGACCAGCTATGCCTTTCAATTATCTAATGGAAGCAGCACTTGAGACTTCTAATATTATTCTAACAGATAATTAAATAATTCTAATTCCATTAGAAAAGTATATTCTAATAATTCCATAAAGAGAAGTGAAACTTCAGGCCCTATTTGTCTCCTGGAAGAAAAACAGAAAGTTCTCAAAAATTATATATGATTTAATCGTTAGATTTTACTACAGGAAATGAAAGAAACCTCCCATTCTTAATGTAATCTTCCCACAGACTTTTAAGGAATACTAGTGGTGCACATATTTTCAGAGAGTTTTGTTTTGCCACATCAGGCTGTGAATTTTTGAGGTAAGTATTTCACCCAGGGATCACTGTACCCATCCTGCAGGTGTAAGGGACTTCAGCAAGCAGATGAAGATTAATAACAGAGCAATGAGCAAAGCTAAAAGACAGCTTCCATTCTAACTTCTAATTCAGTATCGTATTTCACTGATCATATCAATTGAAAACAGCAGATGTGTTTTGCTCCCTTTTTTTTTTTCCTAAACTGCTCTAGCTTTTTGTAAATGGAGTGCTGCATTTGGCAGACAAGCATGTGTAACAAAATGGAAAAGACAAAAACCTTGAGACTATCACAGAAATTGTGTACTTCACACAGTGGGTTATATATGACAGGTTTTGATTTTCACATCTAACACCAATATCTGTCTCAAATTAACAGTACCATTAAACTACAGAAGACCAAAGGTCTTCAGCCAGTAGGAGCCAGTACATTCTGGATACCAAACACTGTAAACTACAGCATGCTTTAGGTGATGAAGAAAATACATGGGAAGTTAAATATGTTGTTGAAAGCACATCAGAATACCACTTTTACCCTTTAAAAGAAAAAAACATCGAAAGAAGCTGAAGTGAGACAGTCATTACGGTTTACATGAAAATAGTCTTTTAAGGATTAACAATGTATATTGTACAAAAAGCTAGTGAAACATTTCCTATTTTATGACTAAGGAATCATTTGTATTTTCCATTTTTTTAAATACATATGTGCTCAGATGTACAGGATATTACATTCTGCTGTCTTACAATACCATTGTAACACCAAGCACTGGTATTTTTATCTACAGGGAGAAGTGACAAATGAAATACAAACTCCTTTTTAATTTAACAAAGTAACTACTACTACTTACCTAACCCTACAACTGTAGAAAACAGCTGTACCATAAAAAGAGTAAGAATCAAAAAGCTGGAATGAAGACTGCATACCATTAAACTAATATGTAATGTATATGTTCATAGGAAAGATCTGAACATTAGCTTGTTAACATTCAGAAAGAACTCATCCAAGATTTTTTACTTTGACATGTTTATTTTAGTTGGATGAACACACTCAATGAACAAGCTGAAACAGTATTCCTCAGCCACACAATTGCCTCCCTGTGGACTTTTATAACTAAATGTTTAAAAATATCAGAAATACGTGGATATTTTCATGAAGAAGTTCAATAGTTACTTCTTGTTCCATGCTTCCTTTTCAAGTCTTTCACGGATTACTTCTTTTAGGTATGGTTCAAGATAATGGTGATCCTAAAAAAGAACAGAATGTATTTAAATTTATAGTGAGGACCAGAAACATGTCAAGTCATTCCTACAGACTACTTGTCTCTCGTTCCTCCTCAGATTTGACTAAACACCAACACAACAAGAAAAAACCCAAGCATTACTTACTGTGAAAAGGTAAACTTTGTATCTGCCAAGTCCGCACTGAGAAGTTCTCTGCTACAGTAACCACTAATGCCTAATTCCTCCCCAACATTAACAAGCAAAGGGATGGTTCCAGCTACAGCTCTAGAAGCAATGTTCTTTTGGCAGATACCCAAATGTACAAGATCCACTTTAATTAAAGTCCAACTATAATACTCTGGAGAATCTTTTTTTGACCTTAACTTCTAAAACTTGGGATTTGGTGCAAACCTGTAAACTTGACTTTGGTGGAACAACCTGACCACGTTTAACACTTACAAACCAAATTGCTGGTTTAGGAAATACGTAACCAGTTATCTGATGCAGCAGTTACCCAGATAAAATCAGCAAGACCACAAGAAAAATCCTCTGTTTACACAGAGACACATTAATACCCTTATACTACCCTAAAGTCAAAAGTTTAGTGATAAGAGTCTTCTCCGCTTGGTAATCTAGAGAAAGCTGAGGTAGACAGTAACGCAAAGTATGTGAATCAACTCACTTCTAAAAATAAAATTTACTTAGCTATGAAAAGGAAAGTGTAGTTTGTTTTTCAAATTACTAGACGATGCTTATTTTAGTGTAAAATTTCCCTTTAACTTATTCTTTCTTGGCACCTTCATGAATAAAACCTTTGGCTCGAGATTTTCTATAAGATTAAGATATTAATCAGAAACTCAAGAGACCTTTTGTAAGAATTTTCAAGCTATTTACAGAGTATTTTTAACAGCCTAGAAGAAATATTTTGTCTGAACACAATGTGCTATGACTCTGAGCTGCAGCTTGAGCTTCTGTCATCGTGAGAAAAACTTGGTAATTTCTACCAAAACCCAGAAATTTCTAAACAGCCATCAAAAGCTGTGTTTTCCAGAGGTGTTCTATGAGATACTGACTCGTGTACTCATTATAAAGAACATGTAAGCGTGTGTCTCTTCAGAGAATGACAATCCCAAAGACCAGTCGCAGCAGTGCCATTTAAGACCTCCACCCTGGAATCACTCTGTACACGCACCTCCTCATACTTCACCCACTGGTCTTTCGGAAGGATCTGATGTTTCAAGCTCAAGTCCAATGCTCGCTTTATGCGAAATATTCTTTCATTGTAAAGATGTTCCGGGAGTCTCTTCAGTGCTTCTTTTACATCATCGTCTTCATACAATGTATCATCTCGCATTAATCCTGTACCGAGAAGTATCACTGAATAAATTTTCCTAAGTAAGATTTAGGACTGACTTAAGTGTTTCTAAGTACCATGGGCAAAACACTTCCAATGCAAAATTATGAAGAAAAACCAAACCAATCCAGGAGAACCATTAACAGCTCACAGAGAACATGCAATTCCAAACACTGGCTTTCACATACTCTATCTACTTTTTTTTTTTTTACTTCTTTTCTTTAAAGAGAAATAGGGAAAATAGGTATTTAATTCAATGTGTTTCATGAGAGTATGTACATACAGAACATTAACTTTTCTGGATCTGAGGGTTGGACTTACGCTCATCTATTTTTATATTTAAGATGACTGTCTAGGCAAAGGGTTTAAGAGCTCTGAATCCATTAGAGTTGGTCAACCACAGATGTGACTCCTTCAGTACTGAAGAATTATGCTCTAAACTCCTCTATCCACAATGACCAGATATCCATTGATTATATGAAGCCATGGAAACCTGAAGCTCTGTGTTTCTGTATGAGTTCCAAATCAGAAGTTAAATTAGGGAGAAGCACCCTGTCTTCTCAAAGCCAAGAACACTCTACACCATTTGTGGAACAAAGAGTTCCTGAAACTCAACCAAGCCTGCTTTAAGGTTCAGTATTAGCAAAATTCCTTTAAAAGATTTGAACTTATTGTGGTCAGCAGTAAATTACAGGCCCAGAATATTCAGGTTCTCATTCAAGAACAGTTCTGCTATCTAAATGGCAAAAACACTTGGTAACAACTCTGAACAAGCTGAAGAAAATATCATCAAGTCAATCTCCTCTACTTAAGGAAACACTGTTTTGACACCTTTTACAGCACAGTCCAGGCCAGAGTGACACCATTTGAAGTTATGGTGACACAAAGGGCAGAACTAACTAAAACCTCTTGTGCACTCTGGATACTTTGCATAAGCATTGTGGACAGACTGACTGCTTGCTATCAGTGGGAACCTCTCCAGCTTCAAGGGTAGTCTTTAGGTTAGAAGATACTGGCTGGTGAAAGTGGCTTGGTGAGGAAAGGTAAATAATCAAACTTTCAGGACTGCTCTATGAAAATTTTTTCAACTGCTCCAGCTTGACCTTAGCTGTTACAAGTTAGTCACTAAAAACATGAGCAAACACAGAAACAACAGAAAAGTCACCAATTCATTACTAAATAGAAATCACAATGAGTGAAGCTACTGCCAACTTTTTCCCCCAGAAAACCAGTAGCTAATTTTGATCCAAAAGACTTAAGCCAAACTGCATATGCCAGTTATGAACCATAACTGAACTCAATCCAACACTTACCAAGTTTGTTGAACCCAGCTGCATTGTAGTACCACTTGCGAATGCTGTCTATCAGGCGACTACCTCCTGCGACTGAACGTGACCATCATCAGTTGCAGAGCAAGACAAAATTGAACATTACACGTTCCTATGACAGTACACAAATATTTGCTGTCCTCCTTCACATGCAGTAATATAACACTGCATCAAGTTTGAATTTGAACATAGACGACTTGGCCTCTCTACTTCTCAACATCCCTTAACTGAAAATGACCAGGCAGAAGGACTCTCATTATTTACTGCAGTTCAACCTGTTTCCCAAAATGTCAATATTAGACTGCTTTAAGACTTTAACAAGGAATTGGTTCATTGTTCCAAAACAGCACCAGCACTTCTAGGCTCCATAACTCTTACATCAGCCAGAATGGTAGTGTTCTACAGAAAGCAAAATCATCATGTCTTCCAAATAATTTATCACAGTTCCAGCAGTGGGTTAATGTGATTTCAAGGCCAGCATATGAGTATGTTGTTAACCCTTTTTACTTCTCCTCTCCAGTCACCTGAATGCTACTTCAGAGCTTCCTTTATCAAGAAACTGCCTAAGTGAACCAGAAAGTCAACACTGAAAAGTCCCCCCCCCCCCAAAAAAAAAAGATAAAAAAAATTTTTAAACAGAAAACATAAAAACACAAAACCACCACATATAGCACGTTCATCTTTCATTAAATGCGATTGTGGATGGCAAAGGCGCATTAAAACTTAAATACGACGCTGTACCATTGAAGTAACGCAATAAGGGGTACAGCACAATACGGGCAATGCAGCCCGGGCAAGCTGTCTTACGTGACTTTTAAGGCGTTTGTCTTACCAAGTTACCCCAAAAAAACAGTGCTAACTGTGATACCAGTGTGTCATTAGCGTACTCTCCCATCCGGTTATTTACTGACTCCTTCTTTAGGAGTGCTTTAGGGCCTGAGAGGGAATAACCTTCGACCAGCCGCGCCCGCAGTCGGTACCCGCACAGGACAGCGACACCCGGGGCCCATCCAGAGCTGCCCAAGGACTCCTCCAATGCTCCCCAGCACCCAGAAAATCCCGGTATCAGAGCCAGGCTCCCTCCACTACCACATGAGGAACAGCAAGGAGAATTGCCCGCCAAGGCTGTGCCAGCAGCACTCGCTACCCCCGTCAAGGGCACACAGTGCACACCGGCTCCCCGGCTGTCCCTGTCCCCGTCACGGCCCGCCTCGCTCCCCGGTGCTGTGCAGGTTGAGCGCAGCGTCGCGGGCGGAACAGCCCCAACCCCTGCCCGCCGAGCGGCCCCGGCCCCGGCCCCGCCACCCGCTCCCTCACCAGGCGCCCTCGCCGCCATGTTGACCTCCGCGCCGCGCGGCCTCCTGGGTAACCCGCAGGGGCGGGCCCCGCGAGCGGCGCATGCGCCCCGTGAGGGTGGGGGAGTGCGGGTTGCGAGGGTGAATATTAGCGAAAAACAACGAAAATAAAATTTAGCTTTGGGAAGCACTGTAAGCAAAGTACCGATCGATATCAAGGAGAAGCAGAAACCTCTCTCTGCTCAGCTATCGCAGCTGCCCGGGGAGCAGCCCTGCGTTCTGAGGCACAGACCGCTGCCTCTTCCCAGCAGTTCCTTCAGGAAGGGATCACTGCGTTTCAAAAGAAATAAAATGAACATGTGGGATTAGGCCAGAAATACGGCTGCAACAGGCAACTTTTAATAAGAAACGCAAATAGCACAATCTAGACTGCACCACACCGCGAAGCTGTATCGTGTTGTACCCAGTGTTGTATCCAAGTTGCTGTGCTGTACCCAGCAAATGAACATGTTCAATCCAAGGCCACCAGCCCTTGTCAAGAACAGCCGACTACAATAAGTTGGGTAATTCTAGCCCAAACGTTTCTTCTAAAGATTCTTTTTTCATCTTAGAGCCACAGAGTTTTTTTGCACGATCCTCAGAAAGTTCTTCTATCCTCTGCCCTTTTCCCTTTCAGCACTCCCATAAAATCTTTTTGCTTCCTTTCTTCACAGTGTTTCTGGGAAGCTATTTTGGCAGAAGCACATGCATTTAACGTTTCAAAGAAACTGGTTTAGCTTTGGCAGCGATCATTTTTACATTTAAAAATAACAAGGGAAGTAAAAGCTCAAAGTTTGAGGCATTCAAAACATATTAAAACCTCCCAACTCTCTTTGGTGTGCAGGGAAAACTCAACAAGGGAAAGAGAGAAGTATTAAATAAAGTTCCTTGTAGATTTCAGGGACACAGTTTTATTTTCTTTCTCAAATTTGCCTTGATTCAGTTTGCTGATTTTTTTTTTTTTGACATTTCAAACCAGGTTTCACTGCACAGCTTTTAGGATATTATTTTCAGCAGCCAGCTTCACAAAGGAAAACCTTTGTAAACTGCTGAAAAAATGCCTCTTTGTAGGAGAAGCTTCACATGCGTAAGAGTGTACTTTTTTTTACTGTACAAGTAAAATAGTAACATTAGCTCAAGTAGGTAAACACAAAACTTCACTACTGCATTAGCTTGCTATTCTAACTTTTGGGAAAGAGAGTGAAAAGAGAAGATAGAGGGCAAGACAAGGAATAGGTCACTAGCTAGTTTTTCCATCTCTCAAAACTCTGCCATTATTGAAAGAAAAAAAAAAAAGAAGAATCCATTTTAATTTACTTTTCTGTTGGAGTGTTGCATCATCCACTTTGTCACTTATCACTGATTAGTGACAAAGATTGCATAAATAGCAATTCATGGAATGAGTATTCAATTAATCTTTCTGAAAAAAATTTTAAGTTACTATAAATATTACTGTGAGCCTTTAAATCCTACAAGTGTTTCATAAGCAATGAAGTCTTAAATGAGTAATAAAAAAGTTTAAAGACCTTAAGGGGGAGTGGTTCCATTAACGATGTTTATTTCATAACTTTATTCTATTATTTTTTACATGAGTTACTAAAGTGTTTTTAAGAAATTTTCGAAGTCCTGTATAGAAGTTTTGGCAATCTCTGTACAAAACACCTCATCAGGCAGGGATACCAGCTGGTCCAGAGAGATGTAGCTGGGTTGTGCTGGGTCATACTGGGCTCTTCCCAAGAATGCAAGAAACATGTGCCTCTCTCTGATTCTTAATAGCTTTGAGTTGAAAACCTAAGCAAGAAACAAAGGGAAGAAATTTTTAGGCTGTCTAAATTTCAGACTACAAGGCATCTAAAACAAGAGGTTTTTTTAGACCAACTGAAGATCTAGGAAGAAAACAAATAACTTTCCTATTTTCTTCTAATTTATGTCAAACACCAGGTAGGTTACATTTATATATAAATTATCTAAACTCTAAACGCTTCAACACAATATGCTGACCAACATACACAAAGACAATCAGGCAGAGATACAACTTTCAAGCATGTTAGGTTTTTTGTTTATATACAACAACTATATTATTTTTGTGTAATCACAGCCAAGAAAGTGGAGAAGAGATATTGAGAAACAGGGAGCATTTTCCCAATACTAACAGAAGCATTTATTGTTACAGACAGATTCAGATGAGCATTGTTACAAGGAAGCAATGAGCAGGTGACCACAAACAAATGGGGAATGAACAAATGGCACAATGGCAAGGGAAAAGGTGCGTGGCTGGGACTCCTGTCATAACACAGCTAAAAGGCACAGTTCAAAACAACCACTTGTCTTCTGCTGCACTGCAGTGCCTGCCTTTGAAAATACCTGCCACAATAAAAATCTAGACAGTGAAAGGTGAGAACAATGGTAAGGGAAACATAAAAAAATCGGCTGAACATCTAAAAACAGAGGGAAGTGGAGAAGATGAGATGCACATTTAAGTCTTAAAGGCAGAGATTTAACTCTGCATTTCTGAGCAGTACAACTGGAGAGAGAGCAGCTAGAGAGAAGATGGTGAAAATATAAGTGCTACAGCAAGCAGAGATTTTACTAAAAAAAGAGAGACTACAGTGATGAAAAAAGGATTTCATGAGGATGCAAACTAATTGAACTAGGAGAGAAACAAAACTATTGTTCCTCCCTCCTCTGCCTCCCTTGAATTTTGAGAGGGAGTCAGAAGACAGAAGAAAAAAAATGTTACCACCATTTGTGGAGTTAGCTGACAGAAAAAATGGTTACAAGAGCAGCTGTAATATCAGAGAGCATTGGATGAAAAAAAATCCTGTACACCTCTTGTTTTCAGCATTACTGTCATTTGGGATAGAAGCGAGTACAGATGGAGACAAATATGCATTTGTGAATGCACAAATTAAAGGCCAGACCATACAGACACTAACTTGCACTAACCATATCCTGAAACTCGCAGTTTTTGAGGATGAAAGGGAAGAACAGGGAAGAGAGGAAGTGACCGTGCCAAGAACAAGGAAATAAGAGTAATGAGGAGATAGAAAAAGATTAATAATCAGGAAACCAGACTATTTTCAATCCTGTAATATTTTAGCAATTGCCACAGCAATAGGAAGTCCAATGAGAATCTGATTGCTTAATGGACAGAATTTCTCTTCTCTTTACACCCTCTTTTCAGACCCTAAAAATTAATTTCTTAAGTAGACAAATCTGAAAGAAATCGTTATATATATACATGTTATCTAATGAACAGATCTTCTGCATATTCAGTCTTCCCTTGTGTCTCTTAGGTAAGATTTCAGGACAAGCAAATCCCTAAGCAGGCAGTAATCTCTCTTCATCAGAAGAGATGAGCATGACTACCTCTGCTGAAAACATAAAAATTCACAAGACTGGGGTTAATGATGTAACACATGCCAGCAGAAAAAAAAAAAAAGGCAACACTTCCCCACTGGAATCCTCCATGGTTTCTGAATTGCCAATATAAGTTGTTGCAGTTAAGAGTAAAAGCCACAGGCAAGCTGAAGAATTCACACGTGAATTCACTGCATACGGTGAGGCTCCACTTTCAGCAGCATATTAGTGAAGTAGCTGTGACAAAAGCACTTACAATTTATTCCCAGATGAACAACTCACCTGAGGAAAGCGAGTAAGCATGTGGTGGGGAATGCCCATTATGTTGTGTAAGTAGTCAAATGTCTGTTTAAGCCTCTTTTTACTTGCAGTTAAAATCTTGGGGGTTTTATACACTATCTGTTGAATTTCATTACGTTGAAAACCAAGTTCAATCTGACAAACCTGAAAAAGAGCACAGTTTTACACTTACAAGTTAGCTAGAGCAAACTTGGCTTATTTTAATGTGCCACTGAAAGAAACTTATGTGAAATTCTTCTACACTTTGTCACACAGCAACAAGAATGCATCCCACAATAATATCCACCACTCCAGTAGCTCTCAAGTCAGACAATGCAAGTTATCATTCTGGATTAAAGTGTAATTTGTTTATAGAGTATCCTCAAAGTAAAGACGACTTCTGTGAATGCTATGTGTTTTTCAGCTTGTCTGAGATACGAACAAAAACCAGTGTCTGTATACGTGTGTCAGTCACAAGCATAGAAATTCTCTCCTAAGAGTCCTTTACCAGTTTCAATTTAATTTAATGGCCAGTCTTCGCGAGCGAAGATCCGGGGAAGGTCTTTACACCTTCCAGCCTGCGCATTGGATTTTTTTTAGGTGAGACACAGTGTGCGCGGAACTGAGCCCACCCTTTAATCCTAAGGTTCATCTGCCGGGGCCAAGCGAGCTTGGACGGTGGCAGCGAGGTCCTTAGGACGTAGGTGGGTTGCCTTTAAGGGCTAACGAGCCCCACCTGCCCGGGAGTGGCCCTGACCGGGAATCGAACCCGGGTCTCGGCTGTGATAGCGCCGCGCCTTTACCACTAGACCACCAGTTTCAATACCAAGCTGTCAAAAGACTGACTTTCTTGTTGTGGAGCTGCTGAGCTCTGTAAAACACAGCAATCAAACATTACTTCTTTTGCTAATGTATCCAAGTTACATTTTTATAATAGGGAGTATAATTTCAGTCCTGTAGTCTTCAACCTAAGACTGCTGAACCTGAAAGAGATGTGTAGAATATGCAGTGTTATCAACTTATTTTACAGTTCAATAATGTCTAAAGTAAGATGTCTTTTTCAGAGACTGCCTTGACTTCAATTATGATTTCCCAAAAGGAAAACAAAACACATTTTTTCAATAAAATCATGAGCACTCCTCCCACATTGCAGAATGGCAAGCAGTTCATTGAGTTGTTGAGAAAGGAATTCAGCATACAGGAGTGTCTGGAAACTCAGCTATTTCTTCTGTCCTCCAGTGACATTTACAAGCAGCTTGTTTCTAGTCGTGAAGCGGGTATGCTTGTCAGTCAACATAACCAGACTTTTAAAGCCAACCCAGGTACTACTTTAATTGGCAAAAATGTACTTTTTGTTTGTCCAGTTTGATGTGCCAAGACTGCAGCTCTTTTCCAGAATTGCTTGGCAAATAAAAAGGGAAGGGCTT